TGATGTGCATAGACTATCAGCACTTTTTTCCCTGGAGGCAGAAAGAAAACCAGAAGACAATTTGGAATATGGGAGGCAGATGCAGGACAATTTGTGGAGCTGGGGCTTGGTCCTTCCTTTTTCTATAGTGTGTTTTCCCAGTGGCACAAAACTAGTGGAAACAGAGTGACAGTGGCAGGATTTGACTCCTGCTCAGCAGCAGTGAGTGACTCCTGAGGCATTAATCGCTGAATGCCCCCAGCCCAGCAATTCTGTGCAACACTGGGCTTTCCTAGGTGGAAGTCAGTGGACACTGGATGTGTTCCACTGCCTTATATAAATAGTACCTAGTCCCTCCTCGAGTTGATGTTTCTGTTGCTCTGATTCCACCATCCCCAAAAAGCAGTGCCAGCCTGGATTCCCTCCAAGTGCTGTGGCAGCAACTTCGGAAAGCTCAGAGCAACTTCCTACTGCAGTGTGGGATCCTCTCATCTTCCAGTTCAGTGCTGCGCAAGTGACACCATCAGGGTAGATGTTTAAGATGCCACTGCCCCATTTCAGCATCACAACAGTGACTTCAATAGAAAGAAATAGGATTTTTTTTTTTGAGAGATTAGGCTGTCTAGTGTATCTCAAACTGCTGTTAAAGTGGATTCAAGATAAGCTGAGTGGCCAGGCAGATATGCTGGGATGGAGTTTTTCAAAGGGATGTAACAAGACATATCGGGATTACTTGTTCAAAATTTATTGAATATGGGCTATTGAACTTAAATAATTAAAATAATATTTCATCAGTGAAAACAAGTGCGTATGGGGTAGTAGTTGTTATGTTATACATAACCCCTGCAGTGGGGGAAATTCCCAAGGACTGTTGAAAAGGACTGGATCTACAAGACATGCAGCTCTTGGTTCCTGACTGCCAACACTAAGCTTCAGGCATCTCCTGAGCTCAGTTGCTGCATGACACAGCTCCTGATGTACATCCCAGAGCACCACCTGCTAAGTGACAGGCAAGTTTAGGCTGTTAGG